TCTGAGCTATGTGTACACATCAAGAGATGAGCCTGTCGTAAACAATCCGTACCAGATTTCGATGGTGGGTTACTGGCATCAAAGCCCAGAGACCTCCCCGCAGCGGGATCCTTTTTGAATTTGGTATCGAACGGCGAGTGATTGTGCTGCATGGCCATAAGCGTGTCCCTGACCGTCTTGGGCTTGCTGATCCATTCTTCCCTCCCCTTGTGATTCTCCCCCAGCTCGGAGTAACTATCCGCCCGGTGCTTCTCCTTGGAATCGTGCTCGCTGCTGGACACAGAGCCTAGCCGCTTAGTCCCCACGTCTCCGGACGTCGTGGCGGCCGCTGCTGCTACTAAAGAGGCGGCGCTGATCCCCAGCGGAGGAGCCCGGGCTCCCATCGGCGATCCATTCATCAAAGCGCCCAGGGAGGTCGGCACTGCGCTAGTCCTGCGAAGATTGGGGCTCTGGCGATTCAGCTCCGGCGGCTCCTCCGGTTTGGGAAAGCCATTGGGGAGGAGAATGCCGTTCACCGGCCGCCCGACGCTGTAATCCGAGCCCAGGCGGGGCGGCGGCCTTTCTCCCACCAGCGGGTAGCGGTCCAGGCACTGCGGCGGAGGAGGCTGCTGGGAGGCTCTAGAGACGCCTTCTGGCCCCCCCACCGTGTGGCCGATCTGCGCCATCTCCTTGACGGTGAGCTGAGGCTTGACCGAGGAGCTGCTAGAGGACGAGGAGCTAGGGGGCCCCGGGGACCTACCCTCTTGGAAGCCATGGGCCCGCTTTAAGTGCCGGGCCGTCTCGATGACGAACTCGATCCGATCCGCTCCTTCGTAGTTGACGCAGCCTCGGCACACGGGCTCGGTGAAGTCCCAGATCATAGCCCATGGCATACGCGGCAAGTCACATAAGTAGCAGGACTGTCTCCGGGAGGAGGCTATGGTGGCGGATGACATAGCAATAAAAGAGCAATCCACACGAATCCAATAACGAGGCGATCGCGGCTTCCCCGCCTAAGCCGGGGACATAAACGTGCACAGAAATCCTGGGGGTGCGGGGCAGGCTGCTCAGGGAGATGGGCGGCAGCGCCCTCCGCCTAGGCTGCTGCGAGGTCCGGCTTGAGACATGTACACTACGCCCTGGATCCCGGGAGGAGGAGGCGGAGGAATTATTCTCTATGAAGGGCTTCTCTCGCTTTCCTCAGCTGCACCGCTCTCGGGAGGGAGGGAGGGAAAGAAAAGGGGGAAGGGATGCGCCTTCTCTATTGGCTGTGGCTTCAGTCACCAGAGGAGCCCCCCTCACCAGACCGCTGCCAAAAGCTCACAACAACTCCAAGTTTAACCCCTTCCTACGCTGAGGCTGGGAGGAACAGCGCCATAAACCCCGGCTGAATGCCAAAGCGTCCCATGCTTCCTATCGCCGTAAAACGACCAAAGGCTCGTTACAAGGGAACGGCTCGCTCGCTTTTTTTTCCCGCCTCTCTGACAGCCCTGCTGGCAAAACCGATGACGTCACGGCCGAGCCAACCGTTTGTGATTCTAGTTCTCTATTTAGTTGATTCTTCGACAGTCCCCCGGCCAGCCACCGCCACCTCCTTTCTGCGCAGGCGCAGTAAGTGTCGTCGAGCCTACACGCCCACGTTTCCTTGCTCGTTCTCCACCCCCCATTCTTTGAACTGCTGCCAAGACAACAAACAAGAGCTGCTGCAGAACCACTGACTCAGACAGTTACTATGCCTTGCTGTACGGCTTGGGGGGAGGGAAAGATTATATGCGTGTGATGCAAACGGGCCTTCACGCAATTAAAGAGAAACTCCAGCTTTGGAGACAGATACCTGAATCTCGCTTTGTTATCAGGCCTTTTTCCAGCATGACCATTTAGGTTATTCAATTTTCTCAGGCAACAATGCTGCACATTTCACTGAATTGTAAATTAGTTAAAGGGCTAGTTCACCTTTACATCACCTTTCCCCCAAAAAAGTACCTATGCATTCCAGCTTCTGTAGTATATTAAAGCGAATTAAAACGCTTATCTTACTTTGCATACTTGTACATTATGACACACTTACCTTACAAATGTGCCCTTCACTGTTGAGCGATGCATGTTCTGTCCTCCGCCAGGTCACCTGCCGCCAGGGCGGCCTTTAGACGCCCTGTGCGAGACAGCGCCCCTCAGTGGCCACACCCATTTGATCCAATATCCGCACCATTTAAAGACTCCCATTTTCTTAAGCCCCAAAGAAACATATTAGAAAGTATGATAAAATAAAACTTTTATTCAAAAGTATTAAACTTGTAGGCACAATATAAGTATTCTTATTAAATAAAACAACAGTAAGGAAACAAGTGGTAAACAATAAATGTCAAACTAAAATAGAGTCTATAAAAATAAAGTGTCAGGATGTCATGCCGACCCTTTTTTCAAGTAAGTGCATCTAAAAATGTAAAAATAAAAAACAGGGTGTGGTTCTTCCCTGCCTAAAACATTCTAGACGTATAGCATAAGCCCAGGGTCAGATGAGTTAGTGGTTAGTGCGCTCGAATGTAGCGAACCAATCTGCCCATGGTCTCCAGAGAGCATCAAACTGCTTGATTTTATCATTGTTGAAAGCTATAGTTCTTTCAAATTTGTAGTGGAGTTGTACCAGGTGGATGAGGTGGATGAGGGAGGGGGCCTCAAGCGTTTTCCAATTTCTGGCAATAATGAGACGTGCCGCCAGTAGGACATCAGTAATAGCAATTCTGCAGCCGGGTGGGAAAAGCTCGATCCCCAAGTTCAGAATTGCCAGATCGGGGGTGGGATCGATTCTGGTTGAGCTTATGACGTTAATATTCTGGTTGAGCTTATGACGTTAATAATGTTAAAGACCTCCACCCAATACCCGCTGAGGAGAGGGCAATCCCAGAAAGTATGTAAAAGGTTGCCCACTGCTCCACATTCTCTCCAGCACTGTGCTGACCGTCCCCTATAGTACACTGCTAGCCTATAAGATGTGAGGTACCATAGCAGCGTGATCTTCAGGGTCAGTTCCCAGAGATTGACGCACTTGGTCGCCAGGAGTATTGTCTTAAGGGCTGTACTCCACTGGGTCGGGGAGTAGTGTGTCCCTAGGTCCGTCTCCCATTTCTGGAACGGGAGGGAGTTAGAAAAACAGGTTTCTCTTGTAGCACTCCATAAACCAGAGATATACCCCTGACCTTAGTGTGTGGGTTGTGGTAGAAGGCCCATATGCTGTTGGGAAACTGAACTTCCAAAGGTGTCGTGGGACCAGGGGTGCCCTCTTACCTGGGGTCCGGCGGGTGCGACGGAGATCGTAGGGTCCTTCTTGGGGTGAATTGGTGCCCGGCGGCGTGCTGCATGTGTGCACATGAGCGCATGCATGACATGCGTGCGTGACGTGCGCATGTGGCAATGCCGTGGCTTCTTAGCTGCTTCGGGTGCTGGTCATTGCCGGGGAGGGCCTTGCAAACACTCCTTCTCTCCCAGCCGTCCCATTGGTTCGCAGGGACCTGTGGCTTCCTGTTGCCCAGACAACAGGGGCGTCGCTGGCCCCTGCTGGGTTTAGATTCCAGCCAGAGCCAAGACTTGTTGCTGAGTTAATCTGCCATTCCCTAAGCAGCTACAACGCCTCATTTCCTGTTTCCTGCTTCCCTTCCCTGCTATTCGGATCTCCTGGTTATCGACCCCTGGCTTGCCTCACCGTTTTTGATACTCGCTGCCTGCCTCGACCCGGACTGTACTCTGACATCGCATTTTGGATTATCCTTTCTTGTACCTCAGCCTGGACTCTCCTTCTGGGATTGTTCCCTGCTATTGGGTTCCAATCCAGCAAACAGGGGGACTTCGTTCCTTCCCTAACAAACGGTTTAGTTGTCCCTGTAAGGTGTCTAATTTGCAAATAATGGAACAACTCTGTTTGGGGGAGATCGTATTGTCTACTTAAGTCCGTAAAGGATCTGAGTTTACCATCGGCATATAAATTGGATATCGAGACTATACCCCTGGAATACCATTTTTGTAGATCCAGGTCGGGTATGAGTAATTCCATAATATTAATTGGCTGTGGAAGGCTTACAGTCAATTCAGCTGATAGGCGGAGGGAGCATATACATCTCCAAGCTCCAATAGAGGCTTCAATAGAAGGGTATAGGGAGTTTATGGGAAATCCTGCCCTTGTGCTGGCTAAGAGATAACTAGGTAAGTTGTGTCGGGGTACCATGGAGCATTCAATCTCCCACCAAAGCACATCAGAGGAGGGCCGGAACCAATGCTTAAGCTGTTCTAGAAGCACCGCCAGATAGTAGTCCTTAAGATCTACCATGCCCATCCCACCCACAGTTTTGTGCTTGAGCAATTGGGCATATGTACATCTTGCTTGTTTACCCTTCCAGATATATTTATGTAACGTAGATCTAAGGGTCTTAAAGTAGGTATAGGGTATGGGAATCGGCAGCGTCCTAAAAAGGTATAATATTTTGTGAAGAAACACCATTTTAAAGGCTGCTAGTCGTCCTGACCAAGAGAGTTCATGGTTGGACAGCACTTTTAGGTCATTTTGGAGAACATTTAAGAAGGGAAGGTAGTTCACCTGAAATAACATGGCAGGATTAGACGTGAGCGTGACCCCTAGATAGGAGATTCCGTTAGTGCTCCAAGTGAATGGCAGAGAAGAGGACAGGGTCGTTTGCAGTGTGGATGGAATGTTTAAATTGAGTAAGTGGGTCCGTGGCTGGGTCCGTGAGCATGAAGATCACGTCGTCAGCAAATAGTTGTATTTTGTGATGTCTATGTTCAAAAACAAATCCTTGTATTGCGGAATCGTTTCTAACTAACTCTGCAAATGGTTCCATCAGTAAATTAAAAATTAATGGTGACAGAGGGCAACCCTGTCTCGTCCCATTGGATATTGGGAAGGAGGCAGACACTGCTCCCGACACGGAAACTCTAGCTGAGGGGCAAGAGTATAGGGCCATGATAGTGTCATAAATTGGACCTACGAAACCAAATTTGTGTAAGACTTGTTCCATGTATGGCCAGTATATCCTATCAAATTCCTTTTCGGCATCTAGGGTCAATAGGACAGCGGGAATGTGCGCTTTGGCGTCTCCGTGAATAATATTAATTATTCTCCTTGTGGCGTCAGGTGCCTGTCTTCTAAGTAGGAAACCAGACTGATCTGGATGGATCAGGGACGGCAACAGTACATTCAATCTAGAGGCTATAATTTTGGCGTACAACTTGATGTCTGTATTTAAGAGGGAAATTGGATGGAAATTAGCTGGGGCAGTGGGTTCTTTCCCTGGTTTCGGAATAGCCACAATGGTGGCTCTCAACATTTCCTACGGGAAAGTGGCTGTACGCGTGGCATTCTCATATACCAGCGCCAAATGAGGGGTTAGTAGTCCTGCAAAGGTTTTATAGTATTCACCCGAATATCCGTCTGGGCCGGGGGACTTGTGATTAGCTAACGACTTAATGTGGGTGAGGATTTCCGACTCCGAGATAGGCTTATTTAGGTCCTTTAGTTGTGTGTCATTCAGAGTAGGGAGACGTAGTGAGGATAGAAAATTGGTGATATTGGCTGAGGTAGGCGTAGGGGAAGACGGATCGTCTCTCAAATTATATAAGGAACTATAATAGTCTCTAAATTTGTCGGCTATGGCCGTAGGATAGACCACTTTTTGGTCGGCAGCTGAACCATTGAGGTGGGATATCCTAGTTTTAGCCCTCCGATTTTTGAGTTGATTGGCTAAAAAACGATCCTGCTTTATTGGCGCTAGCATAATAGTTCACCCTCAGTCTACTAATTATCTTGCTGTGGTTGTCCAAGAGAAGAAGTCGCAGGTCTAACCTATGTTTAGTAAGTTTATGGAGCAAATCCGGGTGAGGGAATGATTTGTTTCGGGATTCTAAATCTTCTATATCCTGGAACTCCTTTCCACAGCAAGCAGAAAGGTCAAAGAAGCCCACTGACTATTGCAGGGAAATCTTGCTGGAGCCCCAAATTAACATAAGTAGCCAGCAGGTAAATCTTCCTATCAGACTTCACCTATAATAGAATCATCATTTTTGGGTGGACTAACCCTTTAACGTTTTAGTAGTGAAGTAAATAGTTCTAGATTTGAGTTGTATAGTAATAACCTGGAGCATAATATACACAACTGTAGTGATGACACGGCCTTCCATTTTTAAAAGGCAATGCTATACTTCATAGTATTTTTGGTTGATTACGGCTCCTTTACTAAGTTGGTTATCCACTCTTTTGTTTCTTCCCAATTTATACCTTTTTATTTCTTGTTCTGATGAGGTCTAACAAGCCAAACACAGTTGTATGTGCGTTGGAAAAAATGCTTCTCTGTATCTGTGTTGTAAATTCC